GTTGGTCTGGCTTTTTTTTCTTAAAGCCTCTGAAAAAATCTACCGAGCCTCTGTTCAACTGACCTTGTAAAAGTTAGTCGTTTTTGGCCAGAGTCTCTGGAGTCCTGCCTCTCATCTCGTCACACAAAATCGTTTTAGTTTGTATGTAAAGACCAAAAAAAGACACATTTTTGTTGAAAATAAAGTAAAAAATATTATTTTTATGAAGTTAAGGTGGTCGATCCCCCCTCCCCCCAGGAACATGAATACATAATGTTAATGGACTATATTAGAATTAATTGACTCAACATGTTAGCTCAGTTAAAATGTTGATTCACACAGATCTACAATGTGCTCTATGTCTAGTCTTCAGTTACCTCCTTCAGGGCTTCACCACGAGAGAATTATTAGGAATATGCTTTTTAAATTAAAGTTATGACTGTTTATTCATGCTGCTGCACAGATGTGTCAGTTTGAGAGTGAGACTGCAGAAGAAGAGTGGAAAAATCACCGAGCTGTTCAGGAGATGACGGACCATGGTCCCGTTCTGGAGCTGACGTGTCGTGAAGCCAAACGGACTGATCTAAAGCTGTTGTGACAGTCAAGTCATTGTTTGTCTCTAAAAATTACACAGAATTATATAAAAAAACAACTAGGATTAACTTTGTGAATTACAAACTAAGGTTTGGGGTAGGGAAAAGGTCATAGAACACTTTTTTTGTAACAAATCCACTCCACTCATTGTTTTACTGTGATGTAATCTCAAACAGATTAAAACAGCTGCTGCTGCTGGCGTTGTTGCAGCGATGAATGTCTAATCTAGTGAGGAATCTCCAGATTTATCCTTATTTCCTGAATGGCATCTTGGTTTTGCTCACATTCAGAGAGCACCTAATGTTGTGCCATTAATCACATGGCTGTTAGTTAGACTTTCGTTGTTAACAAAGTACAATGACAGAGTAAAAATCCAGAGTGAACCAACAGTAGCTACAGTGTTTCTTTCATTCAGCTGGTCTCTTTGCAAAGTTTATGGAAGTTAAAATAGCACACTTACATCCATTTAATAAATGGGCCTTCCTGCTCAACCTGCTGCCTCTGCGACCACTCTCCGGAACAAGCGTCAGATAATGGATAAATAATAATTGGAGCAGTGGATGTGCTCAACTTTGTTGTGTAGTGCTTGATGAACTGCTGCAGGGTGTAGATGTTAGTATTATGTTTTGCACCGTCTCAGTTTGCCTATGCTTGAAACACATGAGTTTTCCTCTATTGTGGAGTAAAAGAAGACAGACCTATTGTCCTCTTTAAACTTTTAAAAATCTATTTTAGATTTTTAAAAGTCTCCAAAGCCCCAGTCATCGATTAGTCATTTATCTTATTCACAGATGAATCTGCTGTTTTTATGCTTTCATGTAGTTGTTACAGTACCTGTTGTGTGTAGAGGATGTGTTACAGTGTGTTGTGAATTTCTCATGTCTTAAGGCAACACATTTGACTCTCACAATGTAAATGTGGACTTTTTTCACTGTAATAGAAATAGCGCTTTCATAACTTAGGTTTATAAACAGCTAAAAGGGGAAACAAACTTACAGGCTCTCAAGTTGTTGAGAGCTTTGTAGGTTAGAAGTAAGATTTTGAATTCAATTCTGGATTTGACAGGGAGCCAATGGAGAGAAGCTAAAACTGGAGAGATATGATTTCTCCTATCAACCCTCATTAAAACACTGGCAGCAGCATTTTGGATCAACTGAAGACGTTTGAAAGACGTATTTGGACACCCAGATAATAAACCATTACAATAGTCCAGTCTATGATGTGACAAACGTATGAACCAGTTTTTCTGCATCAGTTTTGGACAAGATGTTTCTAATCTTAGTGATATTACGCAGGTGGAAGAAGGCGGCAGTTTTGGTAACATTTTTAATGTGGGGGATAAAAGACATGTCCTGATCACAAATAACACCAAGGTTTTTAACTTTAGAACTGGAGGCCAGATTAATGTCATCTAAGGAGGGAGAAAGACTGAAACATTTTATTCCTAAAATGCTCAGGTCCAAAAACCACAACCTCTGTCTTGTCTTTAAAAGCAGAAAATTAATGGTCATCCAGGATTTTATGTCTTTTTAAGACATGATCATAATTTAAGTAACTGATTGGATTAATTGGGTTTCATGAACATATTTAACAGTATCATCAGCATGTAAATGAAAATTTATCCCATGCTGTTTAATAACATTACCTAATGGCAGCATAAAGTAAAGAGTATTTGTCCAAGCACTGAACCCTGAGGAACTCCATGACTAATTTTTGTGTATGAAGAAGATTTATTATTTACATTTACAAACTGTAATTTATCAGATATATATGATTTAAACCATTTTAGAGCCATCCCTGTAATCCTGATATCATATTCAAGCATCTGTAATAGAATATTATGATCAAATGCAGCACTGAGGTCTAACAGGACCAGTATAGACTCAAGTCCATTATCAGAGACCATGAGAATATCACTAGTGACTTTCACCAGTGCTGTTTCTGTGCTAAGCTCTAAACTATAAATAATCACAGATTTATTTACAGTCTGGTCTAACGTGATCAAATGTTATCAGAGACTTTAAGTCCATGTTAAGGTCAAGTAGTTTCCTTGGTTTCCAGATTTGAAGAAAGTGACTCATACCTTAATTTCCTCTAGACTGGATTACAGCATTATTCTTGAGTTGAGTGTTACTGGTTTGTGCTTCGTTGCTGACAACTGGTCTAAAACGCCGCAGCTCACCCAGTGCAACACATCTGTCTCTGGCTCCACAAGTGGTTTAGAATTTTGTTTAAAATTTTATTGTTTGTTGTTTCACTCATTGAATTGTTTAGCACCTTACATATTTAAGTTTTTTACTTTATACATTACCAGACGGTCAAGTATAACTAACTAGGAGTAGTTCAGAAAACAGAAGAGATCAGTCTTTCTCTGGATCTACATCTCAGCTGTGGAACAGTCTGCTCTTTCAGGACACAACCACTTGATGCGCTCAGAACCTGTTTAAAACATTATTTTAATTCTTGCCCTTTAAACCAGACTAGCTTATGTTTTATATTTTCAGATTTAGTCTGTACTGCATTTAAATGGTATATAAATATTGTGCTTTGTTAAAATATATTTTCTTTCTTTACTGGCATATTTGATTACACTTTGATCAACCCCAGTTGTTTTTAAATTTGCTCAGAAGTGAATTTGACCGGACAGTATGAACTCATATTAGTCGACCTCATGCCAGCTATATTTTCAAGTATGTGTGTACAGAAAATGGGCCAAAACAATAAAAATATCACCTTTCTTTTTTTCGGTTTCTGCAAAATTCAGTATTCATTGAGAAGACTAGCGTATTTTACGCTGTACATGTCGCACCGCCTTAAAAGTTGCATCAGTCCAAATATGTCTAATAAAGTGGAAAAATCTAAAAATAAGTCACTTTGCCGTATAAGTCGCATCTGTTATCCGTCTCCTCTGAAGTGTCGCGTTTGTTACGTGCCATCGCTGACAACTCGGAAATGTGGGCCGAACCTGGAAATGTGGGCCGAACCTGGAAATGTGGACCGAACCTGGAAATGTGGACCGAACCTGGAAATGTGGGCCGAACCTGGAAATGTGGGCCGAACCTGGAAATGTGGACCGAACCTGGAAATGTGGACCGAACCTGGAAATGTGGACCGGTGTTGTGCCAAAAATTGATTGACTGCCATATGGCGGCCGCGGGAGCGTGCACAGGAGGACTTTAACAAGAATTTAACAAGATTAACACTTAAAAACAATTGTTTGTTTGAAATTATAGTAAAGGTGTGTCTCAATCTAACGTGTGCTTAATAAAAGGACTTTAATGTTCAAATCAGCTGTACTCGCTGCCTCGGTGCTCCGGGAGCGTGCACAGGGAGGAAAAATAAATAAAAACACTGCTCGTTTCTTCGAAATTTAACAAGCTAAGCACCTAAAACAATTATTTGTTTGCTCAAAATTATAGCAAAGGTGTCTCAGTTGAACTTTTACTTAATAAATGTACTTTAAATTCAAAAATTGGTTTATAAATATGGGGGGGGGGTGCGTAAATAAGTCGCTTCATTGTATAAGTCACAGGGCTTGACAATTGTGCAAAAATCTGCGACTTATAGGCTGTAAAATGCGGTAGATGTTTCCCTGACTGGTTTCAGTTTGTACGTGACGTTTGTGAGACACACAAAGCTGCCAGGAGGGAATAGTCGACAACGAACCCAGAGCGTCTTTACTCCTCATGTGCTTTCATGTCTGGCCTTACTCATCACCCTCACAGACAGACACATGTCCAGATCTGCAGAAGAGCTGGAAGCTCGACACCAGATCACATGGAGAAGCTGCCCGTAATGTATGAATACAATCAATCTAGGTCTGAACTCTCTTCCCTGTCCTCGCGCATGCTGTCTCCCTTGATTTCTCTCTGTTGCGGACACGTGCATACATCTGCAGCTCCTGCATCAGCCGCTCTCGCGCACTTTAAAAGCACCTGGAATGTGTGGATGGAAATCGACGCAGCTCAGGCAGGTCCTGCACCATTCAGCTGATAATCCCCTCAAGTTTTTAGATTTGCTTTTATAGTCTGGTGTGCCAGGAACTGCTCTAAAGTCACCCGTAGGAATCACTCAGCAGCCTGTCATGCTTTCCCAGGGGGAGGAATGCAGTAATGTGCCCGAGTGAGCACAGTCATAATTACCACTTCAGTATTGATTTTTATTGTTCGCCCTCTCAGTTTCTTGATGATCTAACTACATTTTTCCACTCGATGTCGGGTTGTGAAACGTGACGGCAGGTGGAAGTGGGTTTTTTTTCCACTTAAAGGAAGTTTATGTAAAAGATTTCAGTCTGTGAGAAATGTGGAGGCCTGCTGCGTCAACAGAACGGCTTGTGAGGCCGTTCCTCCAGAGCTAAGACGAGCTGTAACCTTTCTTGTTCTTATCTTGTGTCATGTGTAACATTTTTCTTTCTTTCTTATCCTCAGGCCTCCCCGTCCCGGAAGCTCCATGGAGAAGATGAAGAGATTCAAGCGGCGTCTCACTCAGACGCTGCGAGGCAGCCACACAATCGACGAGTCGCTGTCTGAGCTGGCTGAGCAGATGACTATTGAGGAGAACGGCCTTAAGGACAGCGGTGAGGTTTATTAACTAATGTGAAGTGCCTACAGATTCTCATGTTTGTTGTTTGCTAATACTTATTTGAGCCACTAAAATCCAAGAGAGCAATCATGTGGAAACAACTTGAGGTTTCTTTTTGGTTTATCTGAGTGCAAGAATCCAGGTCACCTACACTGACAACATCTCGAGGACAACTCAGTCAAGTCGGTTTGATGTAATCAAACACTGCTAGATACTAGACTGCCTGGACATTAGCTTCTTGTTGAAAATATGATCAATTAGCTGAAATTTAATTTATACAGTGAACTCGTTCACATTTTATCTGAGCGATATCTGAACCAAACTGAACTAGAAATAAAAACACAGTTAAGGTTTTTACCAATGTGTCCTTCAGCTTCAACTTGCAATTAACAAGACAAGAGACAAAGTTTTTATCTAAGTTGAGTGGCTTTAATACTGATAAGCCATTTTGTTTTTTTTTAACCTAACAATCAGTGAACTGAACTAGACATGTGTCTGAGTGGTGGCTGGCTGAGCTCAAACCCAGAACTCACCGTCACTGCAGCTCGGTGCTAATTCACACGAGCAGGAAAAGGTTTTCTGTGTTCAGTTTGGGTGGGCAGCTATTTTTCACATTGCTACTTTACATTGCTGTTGTGGAGGGCCAGACCAACAAGCTGAATATAATTCTGCTAAATATAAATTTTAGAATTAGTCGTGTGACTGATTAACTGCTGACATGACTAGGCAATAAACGTCTGAACCAGTTGTACTGAGAATTTTAACTTTTAAGTACAACATTTAAAAAAGGTGTGTTTTTTGCAACGTTTTAAGCACCATCGTCCATCCATCCATTATCTTTTACCCGCTTCCTCCAGTCCGGGCCGGGTCATGGGAGGGTACCTTTATTGAGCAGTCACTGTGCGAGAGGCAGGGGACACCCTGTACTGGTCTGGACCGGGGGGGATCAAAATCCAGTAAAGGTAATCTAATTATTTATACATAGTCTACACTCCGCTGGCCTGGAGATGTCACGCTTTCAGGGGTGAAGATGTTCCCATCCTGGACAGAGAGGAACGATGGTTTGAGAGAGGAGTAAAGGAGGCCATCTTTGTGAAAAGAAATCGTCCATCATTAAACAGGGGTGGAGCCTCCGTGTTGAACTGTCCCCCTCTTACAATGCTGTGAATAGCAAGCGGCCATCAGGGTGCTAATGATCCATCGTTAGGCTGATGGTCCTTCTTGACCATGTGAACAGCTGGTTCTGGATGTCACCAGCAATCTGGTTGATCCACAATGAGAAGGTCTATTTATAAAACTGAGTTTGTTGCAGCTCCTCAGACTGAAGAAGTCTTCTGGATAAAAGACAAAACGTTTCAACAATTTTTATTTACGGTATCTTTTTTTTTTTTTTTATCTGTCCAGAGGGCCTGACTTAACTTTGTTAGTAATCTGGTTATGTTAGGTTTGAATGTTGGCATGAAGATAAGATAAGATAGAACTTTATTGATCCCACAGGAAATAGTTGTGCCAGAGTTTCAGTGTAAAAGGAACATACACAAGAAATCACACAAGATATAAAAACATAACCGAGAATATAAAAATACCAGCAATGAAGACCGCAAAGTCCTCCAAACACTTTTTTTATAAACTCCCCGTCAGAAAACAGCTTACAATGTTTAACTTTTTTTTTTAGATATCCTAAAACTAGTCTTGACCTGGTTGTGTAAATATTAGTAGAATAGCTTTGTTGCTTTTTACAGTTTGAGCAGTGTTTTTTCTGCTTGTTTGTTAGTCTGACGGCGCTGGTTTAGGTTGTAATCATTAACAACAGCATTTGTTTTTTCCAAACTAAGAGAACTGATTTATAACTGACTTCACCCCCCTACCCCACCCCCCAAAAAAACATGTAGACCCACCATATATTGTTTAAAACTACATGTTTTGTGCGTTTTTATTGTGTCCTGACACAATAAATGTCACAAACTCCATCAGTTTAGAGACTCAGCTGCTAGCTCCCACACAGGAGGCTACTGATATAAACACCCACTCACCTTCAAAATAAAAGCACATCAAAAGCCAGTTTCAGAACAAACACGGAGACCTATACTTTTATAAGAGGTGGACAAATGTGAATGAAGATTTAATAGTTTAATTGCTGTGATTATCAAGCTACAATTGTCATGTTTGCAAGTGAAGTAAAAAGGACAGATTTAACTTTGCTTTAATGTGTTAAATCAAGGTCTTGTAGAAAATAATAATAAAATGAACAACAGTTTAGTTTGAGGTAATAAATAATATATTAATTAAACTGGTGCATCCTGAACTGAAACAGTTAAAAGAAACCCATTTTACCGCAGAGACTTATTTTTCTTCGTATCTCTGTGTTGGGTAAGATCAGTCTTCACGTTTTCTTTCTTTGATTTCGCCATGGACACGCTTTGCTCCGTTTCAGCAGACACTGCAGCAGATTATTGTTCGTATGGATCCGTCCTGCTGAAGAATGTGGCCTTCGCTGCACCAAATGAAAGCAGGGTGGCACGGCACTCCATCACTCTCGATATTCAACAAAATCTTCTCGGGGCAAAAGAGGGAGAATGCATCGGTGTGCGGCCACGTCGTTGCTATGGCGCCCAGGGTCTGGACACATTCTGGAGTTTCCATGACATTGCCACAGCGACTTGGTTGACTTTGTGCAACCAGACGACATCTTTTCTCTTGCTCGTCTTTCTCTCGCGCACCTCTCAGTTGTTCGTTTTTTTAGCTTTGGCTGCAGGAATTGACACTTTTTTTCTGAGCGATTCTATTCCGCTCTCCATCACTCCCCCTCCCTCTCTCTCTGCCTCCACTTTCTGAGAACTGGCCGGGGTTTTGTAATGAGCTTTTTGTGTTGTGATTAACGCAGAGTTTGGCCGGAGCGTTCTGTGCTCGCTGAATCTCACTGTGCGTGTGAAATGCAGAGGGACGGGTCGAACGCAGGGGCTTAGCCGCCTGTGTAACAGTAGAGACGAGACATAATGGAGTACCCAGAGGAGATTTGATATGAACTGTGTGATTGGGGAAAATGTTCTGGTTCTGATCTGCTTACGCAACACTTCTAACTCGGGCCGGCAGCAGCTGCTCAGAGATAAAGTTGACAGAAGGACTGACATTACATGGCTGTGCAGCCTTCTGCTTTCATCAAAACTTTAGGAATTCTGTAAAACAAAATCTAACAAAGCTGAATATAACGGTACAAAAAGAAAACCACAAATTGGACTTCATCATAGATATGCCTCCTGTCGTAAGCTTTGTAAGAAGCGCTGAAGGTCAGCTGGTCCTGGAAACTGGAAACTAGACAAATCCATCAGACTTGAACACAAAACATATTTCCCTCTGAGCTTGACACACACAGACACATTAATCTGTTAAATCCATATCTGTCCTCTGATAGAGCCACCCTCTTTAGAACTGCTGTCCCACACACTGGTGTACAAGACCTACCCCCCCACCAGCACCTAAACCACCTCTGCCCCTCGTCTGACCTCTTACTGCCACTCAGCAGCTTCTCTGGAGCTGCACGTTCTGAGTTGGTGTTTTACTGGGTGTTACTCTAAACCCAATAAATCTTTCGGCCCCGTCAGACCCATCCGTGCCTTTGGACAAAAGTGCTTTTGTCAATCACTAGACTCCTTTTCTTTACTGTTGTTGTACACTGTACTTTATGTTTTTTAGTCTCCTTTATGCACTTTTCTTTGGGGTGTTGACTCGGTTTTTATTCTGGACTATTTATTGTAACAAAAAAGAGTCAGCTTCGTTCATGGCTGGTTCAGCGTACGTTTGACACCCTTACAGAGTTACAGCAGTTTTTTTTCTTTAACACAATGATAAATTAACATTTTAAGTAAAATAAAAATCCACAGAAGAAAAACAATCCCCACCCTGGCACTTACCTCAAACAAGTTAAAACAAAATTAAATTACACAAGTAAATTATATAAAATATAAAAAAATCTAATGTTACACATACACTTCTATACACTATCTATATATATATATATATATACAGTGTGTGTATATAAAATATATATATATATATGTGTGTGTGTATATATATATATGTATATATATGTGTATGTTTGTTTGTTTATTTGTTTGCACAAAAAGAAACAACACACATAAAAGAAAAGTAAAAAAAAAAAGTGCAGTAGAGGTCATAAAAACCCTAGTTGGGCTTACAAGCGTCCCCCCCCCCTTCTAAAAAATAAAGAAAAAAATCATAAAAGCTTTATACATAAGCTTACATCTTACTTTAAACACACACAATTACATAACAAAGCAAAAGATAATAGTTTATATTAAATACATTTAAATTGTCAAAAAATATTAAAATGATAAATTAAATTAAACAAAAACTAATGTGTTAGAAAATCTATAAAGTTTGTTTAAACTTTCTTTTAAATACAGATGATGTTGTACATGATTCACCTAATTGTTTTAAACTGTTCCACAGCACCCTGATGCATGAATGAACATTTAGCAACAGTGGTTCTGCAGAAGGAGATGTGTAAATCATCCCTCCTTCTTGTAGAGTATGAACGATAATAAGAATTACACTCAAAGAAATTATGAAAATATTTTGATGAAGAAAATGGAATACATATAACTTTATACATCAGAATTCCTGTTTGATACTTATTCACATCATAGATTGTAAGAATTTCAAATTTTTTAAAGAGAGGTGTGGATGGAGCTAAATACGGAGTTAGTGACAATTCTTACAAAACATTTTTGAACTTTATGGATTGACTGCAAGTAAGAAGGATAGGTACTTGCCCAAATTAAATTACTGTAAGAAATATAGGGATAAATTAAACTATTGTACAAAATCAATAAAGTACTTGTTTTTAAATATGGTTAAACCTTTTTTGTAATACCTAACAATTTTGAAATCTTCTTATACACGATACACAGTGATTCTTAAAACAAAGTTTCTCATCAATATAGACACCTAAAAACTTTGTTGACGAAACATTAC